AAATTTATAAAAAAAAAGGGGGCTAAAAGAAAATATTTTACTGCAAACAGGTTTTAACAAAATAATTCCCCTTTTAGAACTAGTGCAACAAAAAAAGGGGGGTAGAAACAATCACTGGGGGGGGGGGGGGGTAATAAAAGGTTTATGGGAAAACCCCAGGTAAAATTTAAAGAATTAAAATATGAAGATCAAAAAAAAAAAACTGATTGAACACTTTAAACCTTTTTATTTTTTGTAAATTAGACAAAACCCAATTTTCTCAACCAGAGTAAGGAAAAAAAACTTTTACGTTAAAAGTAATTGAAAAATTGGGATCAAGAGTGGGAAATTTTTTAAGAATATTAAAAAAAATGAAAAAAATTTAAAAAACCCGGGAAAAAAAACAGGGAATATAAAAACTTACGTGGCGGAGCACCCAACAGTAAATTTAAAAATTTTTCCCCAAAAAAATTTCCCGCTGTGACTGATTAAAAAAAAATCTTGCTGTGACGATACGACCCAAAAAATTTTCTGGCAAAAATAATGGTACACAGTCTGCCAAAAAATTAGAGGAATGGACACGCGGGATACGAAAAAAAAAAAAGACACAATAGAAATAAAAAGGGTAATTTTGGGATACTGGGGTGAATATCCTGCATGAAAAAAATTTTCATTAAATTTCTGGAAATACAACGCTGAAAAAAATACAAAAAAAAAAAAAAGAATCACTTCAAAACGGGTGAATGGAATTTTACACTACCCCAATTAAAATTACTAGAGGGCAGGGGTAGCATAAGAAAAAAAAACAAATAAAAAATAAAGATAAATAAAAACACTGAAAAAAAATTGTAAAAATTAACGAGCCAAAAAAACGAAAACAAAGGTTTAGAGCACACAAACAATTTTCTATAAATGTCTCAAAACAGCAAATGTCTTTAAAAAACAAAAAAAAATGTCTCCCAAAAAAATTTTCACTGAAGTTTGGGAGTAGGAGACGGAGGGTTTTAGTCTGGGGGGGCGGGGGGTATGGGGTCCCGCGCGGGGAAAGGGCGCCTCCGACATTTACTGTTGTCGTGAAGAAAAAAAGCTTTTTAGGCGAAAATCACATAACTGGCTTTTTCCCCGTTGGCACCCGTAAAAATCGCTTGACCAAATTATGTTTAAACCAAAACAGTTCTAGGACCCCGGGACAAGGGGGCAAACAACCACAGGTAATGAGTGGTTTGGGTGGGGTTTGGGGGTGGTGGGGGGATGCCTGCCGCCACCCCGGGGGGTGGTTTAGGAATGGTGGGGAGAAGACTCTTTTTGGGGGCCGCTTTACCCCCACTTTTCCCAAAGAAGGTGGCTTTTTCCCCTCTATGCCAAAAGGAATGGTGAAAAAACCCCTCTTGCAAAACAACAAAGGAAACACAAAGCCCATATAAAAAAAATACCTCAGGGGAGCTTGCTTACTTCCCTTTTGCGTGGTTACTTCTCTCTCTCAGCTGGGTTAGAAGCTGGTTGGCTGACTGGCTTACCCCACGAGAATGGCTGACTGGAAGACGTGTAACGATGCACAAAGCACGGAGGAGCAGTTGGATGACAGGAGACAGGCTGGTTGATAGGCTGACTGGCGTTCACTTCCACAGTCTGGCTTACTGACTGGCTTAATTGCAAAATCCGGGTCAACCCCTCGGAGATTGAAGAATTAGCACACGAACAAAAGCCAGGAAGCTTGAAACGGCTGCAACAGGCTTGCAGGCTGAAGGTTGTGAGTGAAGGTATAAACGGCTGGCTAGAGGGTGTGAGGGGAGGTTGGCTGGCTGGAGATTCACCTTTGACCCTGCCGGCTACTCACAACAGTCTTCAAACCTTGAATTACCCTTAAAAAAACGTAAATCCACGTTTCCAAAACCACTTTTACACCATTTATCATGGGGGAGTTCGATACGTGGATTAGGTAGAAATACTCACGTAGGCTGTTATTACGTATAATCGTAGATATGTGGAGAGAACCCGCAGCCGTTACCTGTCTCCTTGGTTACACTCGTAAAACTGACTAGCCGGCTGGCCAGTACCCCGTAGTGGGTCTTTTGAAAATAGTGTCAGCTCAGCACAGACCATGACTCAAGACGGTTGGTCGTTGAGTCAACGGACAGGTTACTGGTAACTGGTTACTGGTAACTGGTTACTACTACTGAGATATGTACCTCTGTAATCCTTAGACTACCGTTCACAGGATGGGTATGGGGTGAATAATAAAGACATTAAACTTACTAAACTTACGGTGCCCGGTGGCCTGGTGGCTAAAGGTCTCGCTTCACATGGCAAGGGTCTGCGTTCGATTCCCAGCGCGGGTAGAAACACTAGGCGCGTTTCTTTACACCGGTTGTCTATGTTCACCAATCAATAAAATGGGTACCTAGGATTTAGTGGGCTGGTGTGGGTCGCATCCTGGGACAAGGACCTAATTTGCCCGAAATGCTCTGCACAACAAGGGGCTTTCTATATAGTAGTATGTCATTGATGTCAGCTTAGCCTGCGTACCTTGTATATGTCCTTGGAGTAAGTAAAGATATTATACTTAACGTCTGCTCAGAGGCGTCGCTGGAGTTGGTGTCACCCGGGACGGAATCTCTGGTGTCACCCGGGACGGAATCTCTGGTGTCACCCCCATGAAATTCAGGGGCGGGTGGATGGGGGGGGGGATGTAACCTCCAGTAATGTCACTACCTCATGACCAGTGACAAATGTTTAACAATAAGAACGTTTAGGGCCATAAACTGAACAGGAGAATACTTCTCAACTTTATTAATGATGAAATAAATAATTCAAATTCAAATTCAAAGTTTATTCTCTATAAAGATTACAATGTTGAATTTACAGAATTTGGTTGTTGTGTGGTTTACATGTAGTTAAATAATGATTACAGAGTGTACCACTAGAACGCCTAGCATGGCTAGGCATTTCGGGCAGACTTAGTTTAATTCTTTATTTTAAAATATTACAAATTATGAGGTAAGTTGGTATTATGGCTAAGTGACTAAATACTAGTTTGTGAGTTTAGCAATGTGAATGCTTTTGTTTTGGCACAGTACATAGTTTCAGTATTGGAGTATCATAGGATTCATTATTTTAAGATTGAGATTAATATTTCTGTTTATGGTCAAATGGGTGAGTGAGTGTAAGTGTGAACCACCAGGTGGTATTCGTGTAGTTAGTTGACGGGGTGTATCAGGGAGATAAGATGTTTTCTAATGGTAGTTTTGAAGGTGATGAATATGTCTGCAGTTCTAGAGTTCTCAGGTAGGGTGTTCCAGATTTTAGGGCCTTTGACATACATTGAATTTTTGTAAAGGTTTAGTCGGACACGGGGAATGTCGTAGAGATGTTTGTGTCTGGTGTTATGCCTGTGGGTTTTGTCACAACTATCAAGAAAGCGTTTTAGGTCAAGGTTGATATTGGAGTTTAAGGTCCTGTAGATGAAGATTGCACAGTAGTAAGTGTGGATGAACTGAACAGGGAGTAAGTTTAGATCTATGAAGAGTGGGGGGGGGGTGTTGCCAGGGATGGGATTTAGTGATTATTCTTACTGCAGCTTTTTGTTGGGTTATTATTGGCTTTAGGTGTGTTGCTGCAGTTGATCCCCAAGCACAAATAGCATAGTGAGGTATGGATAAATAAGTGAGTGGTATATGTGTGAGAAGGGCATTTTGCGGCACGTATTATCGTATCTTGGAGAGGATCCCAACTGTTTTGGATACTTTTTTGGTTATGTGTTGGATATGGGTGCTGAAATTCAGGTTGTTGTCAAGGTATAGGCCTTGGAATTTGCCTCATTATGTCTGGTAATTAGAGTGTTGTCGATCTTAATGTTAATTTGTGCATCTCCTGCTCTGCTACCAAAACATAATATAGTAGGTTTTGTCAGTGTTAAGCGTAAGTTTATTGGCTGTCATCCAAGTCGATATTTTAATCAGCTCCTCGTTAACAATGGTGTTGAGGGTGGCAAGATAGGGTGAGAGATGACAAGTGTGTCGTCAGCAAAGAGAATGGGTTTCAGGTGTTGGGATACGTTTGGAAGATCATTGATGTATATGAGGAAGAGCAGGGGACCAAGGACACTTCCCTGCGGAACTCCAGTATCAAGTGGCCGTGTTGTTGATGCTGTCTTTAATGGTAACATACTGATACCTATTAGTAAGGTAAGATTTGAAATAAGCAAGCGCATGGCCTCTTATACCGTAATGATCAAGTTTGTGGAGTAGGATGTCGTGGTCTACTGTGTCAAAAGCTTTTCTTAGGTCAATAAAAATTCCTAGTGGATATTCCTTATTTTCCAATGCTGTGTAAAGCAGATCTAGCATTTTTATGATTGCATCATTAGTGCTTTTATTTTTTAATCGTAGTAATATTGAGGAAACATAAACTCAAATACCACTTTAAGTACAGGCAACAGATCCTACATTTATTCATCATCAACAATGCAAAAAAAAAAAAAAGAAAAAGAACTTGAAAAATAAAGAAAAACATTATTGAAATATCAGAGAAACACTAGTTCCGATTTGACCTCGAGTACAGATAACATCTCAGTGAATCTGATCTTACATTTCCTTGCTCAGCTATCAAAACTTTGGAGTCCAGTCCCTGGACCAATTATGTACCTCTGTAATCTTTTGACTACCGCCCACAGGATGGGTATGGGGTACATAATAAACATATTAAACTAACTAAACTTGCCTTCAATTATGCAAAATTATATATCACATAATCAAAATAAATGATTTTCCCTACATAGGCTTATTTGTACTTTGTTAATATATAATAGGATATATAGAAACGAAGGATTCTTCTCTTATGTTGGTGCAGGAGTTTTGTGCATTAGTGTCACCCTCTTTAGAGGCTCTATGGTGTCACCCCCTAAATGGTGTCACCCGGAGCGGCCCGCCCCCCCTTACGACGCCGCTGCGTCTGCTCCCCCCCTACCACCGAAGCCTGGGAAGGAGGGTGAGTTGGAAGAAGAGTCGGCCATATTTGGTGTTGTTGTGTAGGCCTGGGTGTGGTGACACAGTGGACGGTCTTCTGCGCCAGCCTTCGTTGGGTGTGGACGTCTCTCTCTCGCCTGAGTATCAGTGACAAATTATCCCCGTTTTCTCTGGGACGCTTGTACTCGCCAATTTTTCCCACCAGGGACTCTACAGGAGGGGCACCTGTTCATCGGCTTACTTTTAATCAGCTCCATTTTTACCGCTCTGCGGTAAGTCTTCATCGGTCTCTGGTGGGAAGCCGGTTACTGTACTCAGGTTGGGGTGTGGGAGTCCCGCTCTACTGGGACTTGGCAAGGGCGTCCACCGGATCTAATTGAACACCTCGAGTTTCTATCTCTATTTACAAAGGAACTTTTGTTCCTTTTCTCTAATCGGCCAGACTTGGACAACAAATCTTCCTGGTGCCATCAAGAAGTCGGGCTCGGTTTATGCTGTCAGTGGCCCTGATAAACCCAACAAAGGAAGACAGAGTGGACGCTGAACCGGCGTCCTGCTGGGTACAGGTTAGATAACAGTTTCCTAGGTGTTTTGTTGCTGTTTTTCAGTGCTGTTTCTTCTGCTGTTTGCTCTTATAGTATGATTGAGGTAGTTGTTAGTGAGGTGTAGTTGTGGAGAACTTTAGTAGATGGAGGTAGAGATGGTTGTTGGTGTGAGAGCAGTCCGGTGCCTGGGTTCACAGGTCAGTCTTCCTCTGGTCCTCTTATTTTAACAGGTTGTACGTATCTACTGTTAGTTTTCTTGGGTCATGTTGGGTTCTACGTGTATTATTGCAGTTGTGCTTGTAATTATGTCATCACAGGAACTTTGATCCTGGGAATTGAAGAATTACAGAGCTACACTGTCGCTGCCAACATATATGTAAGTTCATTTAGGCTGTACATAATTTTTTTTCCTTCAGAGCTCAGTGTTAGGGGCACATAAGATGTACTACATTATATATAGTGAACCTACTAGGTTCAGTGTAGTATAAGTCAGTCAGTTATGACCTCTTATGGGCATGTCTTAGACATGCTGCCCCTGTTCACCAAGCAGTAAATAGGTACCTGCGTGTTAGTTGCCATACACCTGCTGTCACTTCACGTAGTAGTAAGTAGGTACCTGGGTGTTAGTTGCCATGCACCTGCTGTCACTGTTGACTTAGCGATAAGTAGGTACCTGGATATTAGTTGCCTTACACCTGCTGTCACTGTTCACTTAGCAATGAGTAGGTACCTGGGTGTTAATTGCCTTACACCTGCTGTCACTTCACCTAGCAGTAAGTAGGTACATGGGTGTTGCCATACTCCTGCTGTCATTGTTCACCTAGCAGTAAGTAGGTACCTGGTTGTTAGTTGCCATACACCTGCTGTCACTGTTCACTTAGCAATAAGTAGGTACCTGGGTGTTAGTTGCCATACACCTGTTGTCATTGTTCACCTACCCGTAGTAGGTACCTGGGTGTTTTGTTGCCATACACCTGCTGTCACTGTTCATTAGCAATTTGTAGGTACCTGGGGGTTTGTTGCCTTAATCCCTCTGTCAGTGTTCAACCTACCAGTAAGTAGGTACCTGGGTGTTAGTTGCATAACACCTGCTGTCACTGTTCACTTAGCAATAAGTAGGTACCTGGGTGTTAGTTTTCCATTTTTCCTGCTGTCCTGTTCACTTAGCAATAAGTAGTTTCCTGGGTGTTAGTTTTCCATAACCTGCTGTCATTTTTCACCTTCCAGTAAGTAGGTACCTGGGTTTTTAGTTGCCATTTCACCTACTGTACTGTTCACTTAGCAATAAGTAGGTACCTGGGTTTTTTATTGCCATACACTTTCTGTCACTGTTTGCTTAGCAGTAAGTAGGTACCTGGGGGTTTGTTTTCATACACCTGCTGTTCATTGTTCATTAGCATTAAGTTGGTACCCGGGTGTTAGTTTCCATACACTGCTGTCCTGTTCACTTTGCATAAGTAGGTACCTGGGTGTTAGTTGCCCTAACCTGCTGTCATTGTTCACTACCAAATAAGTAGGTCCTGGGTTTTAGTTCCCTACACCTGTGCACTGTTCACTTAGAAATAAGTGGTCTGGGTGTTAGTTGCCATACACCTGCTGTCACTGTTCACTTAGCAATAAGTAGGTACCTGGGTGTTAGTTGCCATACACCTGCTGTCACTGTTCACTTAGCAATGAGTAGGTACCTGGGGTGTTAGTTGCTTACACCTGCTGTACTTCCCCTAGCAGTAAGTAGGTACTGGGTTTTAGTTACTATAACCCCTGCTGTCATGTTCACCTAGCAGAAAATAGGTACCTGGGAGTAGTTGAGGGTTTGTGGGTGGCATCCGGGGGTGACAAGATTGAAGAATCACAGTAGAAAAAGACAGACAGTCTGGGAGGCACAATGAGTTTCTTGGGTTATCCTGGGGGGGATAACCCTCTTGGTTAAAAATCTGAACAAATCTTATCTCTATTTGTTCGGTTTTTTTAACCCAAAAGTTACCCAGTAAAGTCGGGCTATCTGGGACTCTCTTATTTCCATTGGGATCCTTTGATCTTGTCCCTCAAAACACTATTTCACAACTATCAGCTAACACCCAGGTATCTATTTAAATACTTGGTGAAAAGGGACAGCAGGTGTAAGGAAACATGCCCGTGTTTCCACCAATGCCAGGGATTGAACCATGGACACTCAGTATGTGAATGTGTTGTCTTCTAGTATGATTGTCATTGATATGCTCTGGTAACTGTCATTGATATGCTCAGGTAACCCATGCCCTCCCTGCATTATTGTGTAATAGGTGTTTAAGGTCTTGCCATTACTCTGGTGACTACAAAATTCTGCCCAATTTTCCCTAATACCATCCTGGCTTGGTTTCCTAACCTTGATTTAATTTGCTGCAAGATATTCTGGGCACTTGTTAATTAATACCAATTTGTTTTTTGTCATGGTTGTTTTGGCTGTTTTATTTTACCAGCCACATGAAACATTACATGTACAATATTTTTAATTCCCCTAAAGGGAGGTTCCTTGCCCCTGGTGAGGGGCTCTTAATCTAGGAAATTGGATTTTTGCACCGGTTCCCTGAATTGAGCCTGAATTACCTTCTATCTCCCCCCATGTACTGTATAACCCTACAGGTTTAGTGCTGTCTGTAATTATAAAAATTTAATATTTTTAATTTATGTAGGTCAACATGGGCTCTTAGACCAAGTCTGGATAAGTCTCACAATTATAGTTTGAGTAAGAGTAATTTTTAGTCTGTCATTCAGAAAAGAATAGCAATGGCCAAAGAGTTTTATGTCCTCTTATGACGGCATTGTTCAGGGAACATCTCTATGGTCTCTTTGACAGAGGCTCCCTCAGCAAGCATCCTCGCCCGGGGTTACTGGCATTTAAAATTTTTATGTTTACCCAATGTTTATCTTGACATTGCATAAGAGCTAGAATTTATGATTATATGTCCCTTTGAGTTTATTCTTCCGTCAAAAATTTAATAAATAGTAATAATAATAATAATAATAATATTTGGCTTAAAATAATTTAAGAATGAATCCAAGGAATATCTAATAAATGAAGCTGCAGAGAAGGAAATTTTCTTGTTTTGTTTAAAATATTCATAATTTGAGTTTGAGCTGATGTATTTGTTGTAAGATAAGATAAGATAAGATTTCGTTTGGATTTTTAACCCCGGAGGGTTAGCCACCCAGGATAACCCAAGAAAGTCAGTGCGTCATCGAGGACTGTCTAACTTATTTCCATTGGGGTCCTTAACCTTGTCCCCCAGGATGCGACCCACACCAGTCGACTAACACCCAGGTACCTATTTGCTGCTAGGTGAACAGGACAACAGGTGTAAGGAAACGTGTCGAAATGTTTCCACCCACCGGGAATCGAACCCGGGCCCTCCGTGTGTGAAGCGGGAGCTTTAGCCATCAGGCCACCGGGCCACCAACATAGATTAATTGCCATTACTAAGAATAAAAGATATGGGTACATATGCTTGTGCAAAAAATAAAATTACTAAAACTATAACACAGGACCCCAGTGGAAATAAGTCGAATTGTTTGATATTGTTGAGTTATCATTGATTCATTTATATATAATTTTCTGCTGTTTAACCTATATTGGTTTTCTGCTTGGTTTAAAATATAATAAGATATGATTTACTATATAAAGCCATTGTAAAGGTTTAAAATTCTGTGTGAGACCTAATAAAGGTTACCACTTGAGTGATGATAGCAGAAATGGATGCTGACACTTTCATTGGCAGCAACCATCATAGTAAGAGGAACAAGAGGCAGGCTCTGGCTTGTCTCGATCCACCAGCCCAACCATAAAGGTGTAGCACTTCTCCATGTGAGAGGCTGCCTTAATGCTGCTGAGGACTTTTAACCCAAGGAATTGCAGCTTGTTCCCTTTCATATGTTGGTAAAGGGTCTGATCTAAAAAATGGAACTTTTTTTCTTTAGTGAGTCAAATATATTTACCTCCCATTTCCCTATGGCACTGATTCTTTAAGGTTTTGCACTTCTTATTCTGTGTTATGAACCTTAGAGGGTTCATAACCCAGAACAACCCAGTCAGGTCATGTCATTGCGGACTGTCTTGTTTCCACTGCAGTCCATTAATCCTCTTTCTCATGGTGACTCATACCAGTCAGCTAACACATGTGCACATACTTAATGCTAGGGGGAACAGGGGCAGAAGTTGTAAGGAAACATTCCCAGTGTTTTCACTCATACCAAGAATCAAAACTTGGTTCAGCAGTGTGTGAGCTGAGGCATCTATCAAATGAGTCATGAGACACTACTCAGCAATCATGTCAGAGATGAGTGTTAAGCTCACAGCTGAAAAACCAGACTCAGATTAAGAAATAATAGCACTGACAAGCAAATTTTTACCAATGAAAAGTTAAAAAATGATTTTACAAACAGTGGTATATATTTGTACAGGTTGACCATCGCTAATCCGGTATCATTGGGACCTGCAGGGTGACAGATTAGTGATTTTGCTGGATTACAGACTGGTTAGGTTAGAATACACACAACCCAACAGCTAACCACCTCAGGCTACCTTTAAAATACACCATAAATCAGCATAAGTTAACCTTTTCACTATCTCGACCGCTACTCGCAGTCTTGCGCCCAGTGTCGAGGAATTTACAAAAAAAAAAAAAAATAAAAATTGAAGTGATAGAGAATCTTTTTCTGAAGGTAATGAAACCCAAAGTACGAACTTTGATGAAGAACTTACAGAATTATGCGCTCGCAAAGTTAGTGGTCTCGGTCATACAGCCTTTCTTCACTTAGTGAGGTTCTCGTTTACCGACGCTTCGGACTTAAAACGGGTTCTCTGACCAGTATTCACACCTAAATATTGTACAGTAGACTGTTTAACACGGTAGTTACGTTCCTGAAAACACCATGTTAGGTAAAACCGTGTTAGATGAACTGAAGAACTTATGAGAAAAATAGGGTTACATTCCTGGGAGCCCCAAAAAAGCCAAACCACTTTTTTTAGGCCTCCACATCTTATA